GCAACTGATACATTCTGTTGAAGAGCTTGTGCTTTTGAAAGAAGAAAATAGAAGAAAGAAAGCCTAAAAAATAAAACTAATGCAGCCATCACATCTAAAAACTAGTAAGCTGCAATTAAATAAATGTTTGCTTTTGGGTTTAATGCAGCTTTAAAAATGCAAAAAAACTTTTAAATAACATGCCTGGGACCTACCCTTAGCCTGCTTATGAAGTGGAGCAAATTAAAAAAGAAAAAAAAAAATTTGCTGGCAAATGACAGCTTTGGCCACTTTACTTCTGTCTGTAAAAAAAACAGCCAGGGATTCCTTTATTCCTTTTATCTACACCAGACCCTTATGCTAGATAAGGGTCGGATACAGATGATAATAGTGGACCCAACACAAAAAAGAGAGAAAAAAAATGTGTGGGGTTCCCTCATGCAAAAATCATGAAGAAAAAGTGTGGGTCCCCTCCTAAATCCACGCCAGACCTTTACCAAACATACAGCCTGGCTGAGCAGGGCAGGAGTGATGAGTATGCCCCATAAACATAGAAACATAGAAAAGTGACAGCAAAAAAGATCAAGCAGTCCATCGATTCTGCCTTTTTTTTTAACTTTTTTGTCTGATTAGAGATCTGTGTTTGTCCCAAGCATGTTTAAATCCACTTACTGTTGAAGACTCACTACCTCTGCTGGAAGTCTATTCCAAGCATCAACTACTCTTTCAGTAAAATAATACTTTCTAAGATTAGTTTTGAACTTTACTCCTGTTAGTTTGAGGTCATGTTCCTAAATTTTTGGGTTCCCCTATAGTTCTGCACAGCCAGGCAAAACGCATTTTCCACAGACTTGCATTCTGGAGACTGTAAACAGTTCTTGAGTTTGGTTTTTTAGTTTTATTAGGGGTATTGAACTTGGATGGGGTAAGGGGTGTATGGGATGCCCTAGGAACAGTAGACTGAGGACAACTTCCTGGCAACTATATACAAGTCCAAGATAGGAAATTATTTTCTGGGAGAGCTTTCAAGCCTCTCTTGTTGTACCACCCCAGACCCCAGATAAATCCTCTTCTTTACCCAGCTGTCTGAAGGAATCCATGGGCAAGGGGATCCAGTGCCTGCCACTGTAAGTTAAACAGTCCCAGGTAAGGAGCTAGTCATGTTTCCCACCACAATGCTCTTTCCCCTTAACTGGCCCCGTGGGGTATAGGATTACTCACTCAATCCTTGCATGTGAGCTGGTTGGGTTGGTGGCTGCCTCCATGGCTCCACAGGTGGTCTGTCCTCTGGGGACCGATGAGGCTCAGTGATCCTCCTTTCCAGGTCCCTGCCTCTAGGTAGGCCCCTTCCCAGTGGGCTCCCTACTAGGCTTCTGTATTTTAGCCTTTCTCACATCTTCCACCCAAACTCTCCTTCTGCTCAGCAGGATCAGTCACACTTAAATGCTGCCCTGGCCCCATGCCAAGCCCTCTGCTTGGGGATTGGCCAAAGTCCTCTAAGTGTGCAGGCCAGTTCCTCCTCAACTCCTCCCACGGCTGCTAGAATCTTTGTAGAGAAGGGGGAGGTATCAAGCAACTGACCTGCAGAGCCTCTCAGCCCAAATTTGACTCTGCTGACTACTTCCACAGGCTGCTACTCAGCCTTTCTGGCTAAAAAAAAATAACTAGCTCCCCCTAGCTATTTAGAGGGTCTCTCTCTCTCTCTCTCTCTCTCTCTCTCTCTCTCTCTCTCTCTCTCTATATATATATATATATACACTAAATATACAGTATGTTGTATATATATTTGGTCACTCATGGCCTAGCATACATCACAAAAGAATTGTGTCACGGATTGGCTATTTTTTTTTTCATACGGCGGGTCAGCAGGTGTTGGGCTGGATAAAGGTCTGGTTTAGATTTTTGGGTGGTTACTCCTTAAGTTCCAGCATTTTTTTATTTTTGCATGGCGCCCCTCTTGTAATGCATACCAGACTTGAAGGGCCTGGAAGGAATTATGGGGAACCCCACACCATTTTTTTTACTATCCCAGCTGCTTGGTTTACTAAGCTGAGGATTACTGGCTAGTATATATACAGGTGAAACTCAAAAAATTAGAATATTGTGCAAAAGTTCATTTATTTCAGTAATGCAACTTAAAAGGTGAAACTAATATATGAGATAGACTCATTACATGCAAAGCAAGATAGTTCAAGCCGTGATTTGTCATAATTGTGATGATTATGGTTTACAGCTCATGAAAACCCCAAATCCACAATCTCAGAAAATTAGAATATTGTGAAAAGGTGCAATATTCTCGGCTCAAAGTGTCCCACTCTAATCAGCTAATTAAGCCATAACACATGCAAAGGATTCCTGAGCCTTTAAATGATTCTATCTCATATATTAGTTTCACCTTTTAAGTTGCATTACTGAAATAAATGAACTTTTGCACGATATTCCAATTTTTTGAGTTTCACCTGTAAGGAGCCCAGGGGGGAAAAACAGTATTCAAACACCCAAACAAACAAACAAACAAACAAACAAACCTCTGTACAAACTTGTGTTCAGACTAAAACGGGAACTCTATCTATCAGCAGACACAGTTCCTGGGCCAAGTCTTGCTGGAGCAGCCACCTGTGTAGGGGCTCTGCCCCTGGGGCAGCTTTCTGGAAGGATCTGTGAGGAAAACACTGAGGTCCCAGCTAGGTCCCAGCTAGGCTTAGCTGGGGGACCTATTCACAAGCTGAAAACCAAGGATCAAGTGGACTCAGGAGAAGCTCACTAGAGAGAGCCAGGAGGAAGTTGGTGAGAAAGAGCCAAGCAGTCTGATGGTGTTGGGAGCTTACATCTCCCTCACTAGGAAGAGCCAGATGGATATTGGCAGGAGGCAACCGATGATTCTGTGGCTATGTGAATAAGCAACCCTATAGCTGAGGAGTTAGTGACTGTGTGTAGCTTTTAAACTCTGGAAGGTGTACAAGTCACCACCAGCACAGAGATCCTGTGAGACATTCAGTTGTTTGTGCAGTGCAGCCAGAAATTGGAAAGTTATCCAATTCTATGTTTTTCAGGGTATTCCATGCTTTCTCCCCATCCCAGTTCATTGTTCTCAATAAAAGAATCAGTGGAAGAATTACTATCTATCTATCTATCTATCTATCTATCTATCTATCTATCTATCTATCTATCTATCTATATCTATTTATGATTATCTATCTCACTTTTTAATCCTCCAGAATTAATCTATATCCCGTCCTTTTGTTTATATACCTGTTTGTAGATAAGAAAACCCATCCTACATTACAAAGGTCTGTGGGGCTCTCAAAAACTCAGAGAAACTTTGAAACGTACATGACCCTGGTGACTCAGGCCCTCTGCTCTTCGCACAGCCTCGTTCACACACAGAAAAAGGTGAGAAAGGAACTCCTGAACTCCAAACCTTAATTATAACAGAAAGAAAACATTTATTCAAAATATTTCATAAGATACTTTTGCAAATGAAAAAAGCTGTATTTTGTCTTCAGACCTGTACCAGGGCCAAAAATAATTTGTGGCAGGAAAGTTTGAGCATGTGTAAAAATGAAATGAAAATACAACAATTTCGAAAGCGCTTTGAAAAGTTTGATGGTGAAGTTAAACAGAAAGGAAGGTATTCACATGTGAAAATAAACCTCTTCTCAGCCTGACACTTTTGATATCTCACCTTGGGGTGACATTTGGAACTGGAAGACCCACCTGTCATTTAATTGTGTTTTCATAACTTGACACACTTCAGCACTGACTAAAGTCAAGGGACATAGAGGGGCATCATGTTAATGTCTTGAATTTGGATAGGGATTAAATCAGGATTATCTGTCAAGAGCTGACATATTATTCTATAATTTACGTATGAAGACATAAAGACTACTCTGGCAGGGCAAGAATTTGTTCCAGTTTAGGATTACCCACTAGACAGCCTAGACAAGGACATTGGGTTTGGAATTATAAATGGGAAGTGTGGAAAATACTTTTGAATGATTCTCTTAGTATCCCCACCACCACTCTTTGCTTCTCACTGAACAATGACACATTTCTTAAATCCCAACTCCACGTGAATCCTCGCTTCAATACTCTATTCCCCTTTTCAGAGTTACTCCCCAGACTTATTTTTTAATAAAAAGCATTCATACCTCAATTTCAGGTGTCATCTACATGGTCACATGACGGTCACTGTCGTCTTCAGCATTAAAGTGTAAGCTCTCTTTGTAGGGAATACACAGTATCTCACAGAAGTGAGTCCACCCCTCACATTTTTGTAAATATTTTATTCTATCTTTTCATGTGACAACACTGAAGAAATGACACTGCTACAATGTAAAGTAGTGAGTGTACAGCTTGTATAACAATGTAAGTTTGCTGTCCCCTCAAAATAACTCAACACACAGCCATTAATGTCTAAACTGCTGGCAACAAAAATGAGTACACCCCTAAGTGAGAATGTCCAAATTGGGCCCAAAGTGTCAATATTGTGTGTGGCCACCATTATTTTCTAGCACTGCCTTAATCCTCTTGGGCGTGGAGTTCACCAGAGTTTCGCAGGTTGCCACTGGAGTCCTCCTCCACTCCTCCATGATGACATCACGGAGCTGGTGGATGTTAGAGACCTTGCGCTCCTCCACCTTTTGTTTGAGGATGCCCCACAGATGCTCCATAGGGTTAAGGTCTGGAGACATACTTGGCCAGTCCATCACCTTTACCCTCAGCTTCTTTAGTAAAGCAGTGATCGTCTTGGAGGAGTGTTCAGGGTTGTTATCATGTTGAAATACTGCCCTGTGGCCCAGTCTCCAAAGGGAGACGATCATGCTCTGCTTCAGTATGTCACAGTACATGTTGGCATTCATGTTTCCCTCAATGAACTGTAGCTCCCCAGTTCCGGCAGCACTCATGCAGCCCCAGACCATGACACTCCCAACACCATGCTTGACTGTAGGCAAGACACACTTGTCTTTGTACTCCTCACCTCGTGGCCACCACACACGCTTGACACCATCTGAACCTAATAAGTTTATCTTGGTCTCATCAGAACACAGGACATGGTTCCAGTAATCCATGTCCTTAGTCTGCTTGTCTTCAGCAAACTGTTTGCCAGCTTTCTTGTGCATCATTTTTAGAAGAGGCTTCCTTCAAGGACAACAGCCATGCAGACCAATTTGATGCAGTGTGCGGTGTATGGTCTGAGCACTGACAGGCTGACCCCCCCACCCCTTCAACCTCTGCAGCAATGCTGGCAGAACTCATACGTCTATTTCCCAAAGACAACCTCTGGATATGATGCTGAGCACATGCACTCAACCTCTTTGGTCGACCATGGCGAGGCCTGTTCTGAGTGGAACCTATCCTGTTAAACCACTGTATGGTCTTGGCCACCTTGCTGCAGCTCAGTTTCAGGGTGTTGGCAATCTTCTTATAACCTAGGCCGGGGTGTCGGCAACCCGCGGCTCCGGAGCCGCATGCGGCTCTTTTTCACCTTTCCTGCGGCTCCGGAGCACACTGCCCACCAGGTGACAGGCAATAGGGTCGGCAAGCTGCGGCTCTTTTAATGCAGATCTTCTGTGTGCCGGGCGCCCGCTGGCAAACATTGGCTGTCAGGATGTAGGCGGGGCAGCCCGGATGTAGGCGGGGCAGCGTGACGAACTCCTCTCCTCTCACAGTCCGCCCTGAAGACCAGAACGGCGCGGGAACCCAGCGAGAGGAACGCGCGGAGCAAAGGTAAGTGAATTCACACAATATGGGGAATTAATTACTATGGGGGATGAATTACTATAGGGGGATGAATTACTATACTATAGGGGGGATGAATTACTAGGGGGGATGAATTACTATAGGGGGGATGAATTACTATAGGGGGGATGAATTACTATGGGGGATGAATTACTATGGGGGGGGATGAATTACTATGGGGGATGAATTACTATATGGGGGATGAATTACTATATGGGGGATGTATTTTCAGTTTTAAAAATGTTTCTCTCAAAATAAATTTCAATCGTGGTTTTGGCGAGATTTGGCTCAGTCGAAAAAAAAGGTTACCCACCACTGACCTAAGGCTATGATTGTGATTATGACGATACACTGTGGCCCTGATTAACCCTTTGCTTACTGGGCCCTTAAACCCCCTTCATGACCAGAGCGTTTTTTGCAATATATGCAGTGTCGGATTTGTTTTAAATGTTGCAATGGTTTTGCGGCTCCCAGTCTTTTTTTCCCTCTCGGAAACGGGTCCAAGTGGCTCTTTATGTCTTAAAGGTTGCAGACCCCTGACCTAGGCCATCTTTATGAAGAGCAACAATTTTTTTTTCAGATCCTTGAAGGTTCTTTGCCATGAGGTGCCATGTTGAACTTCCAGTGACCAGTATGAGAGAGTGAGAGTGATAACACCAAATTTATCACACCTGCTCCCCATTCACACCTAAGACATTGTAACACTATCGAGTCACATTGCACCGGGGAGGGAAAATGGCTAATTGGGCCCAATTTGGACATTTTCACTTAGGGGTGTACTCACTTTTGTTGCCAGCGGTTTAGACATTAATGGCTGTGTGTTGAGTTATTTTGAGGGGACAGCAAATTTACACTGTTATACAAGCTATACACTCACTACTTTACATTGTAGCAAAGTGTCATTTCTTCAGTGTTGTCACATGAAAAGATAGAATAAAATATTTACAAAAATGTGAGGGGTGTACTCACTTCTGTGAGATACTTTGTGCTACTTTATTCTGGGCATGGCACATTCTGTATTTATGCTGGACTGAGGAATTGCATGCCATGCTGTAGTCACCAAAATTTACTATGTGACCGGGAAGAATACTGTGGATCTCTCCAGTTGTTCCCCTAGGCAAATTGTGACTCTTTTGGAAATACACCTATAAGAAGTATTAACCACTTCAATACCGGGCACTTTTACCTCCTTTGTGCCCAGGCCAATTTTTAGCTTTCTGCGCTCTCACAGCTTGAATGACAATTGCACGGTCATGCAACACTATATCAAAACTAGATTTTTATCATTTTGTTCACACAACCAGAGCTTTCTTTTGGTGGTATTTAATCACCACTGAGTTTTTTTTTTTTTTGTTAAACGAAAAAAGACTGAAAATTAAAAAACAAATTCTTTGTTTCTGTTGTAAAATTTTACAAATAAATGTTCTTCATAAATTTAGGCCAAAATGTTTACTGCTATCTTTGGTGAAAATAACCTATGGCATATATATGAAAATTGATCAATCCTGATGTATTGACGGCCTATCTCATTTCTTGAGGCCCAAAAATGTCAGGACAGTAGAGATATCCCCCCCTTTTTTGGAAAGTAGACAGTCTGCAGCATTTAGTAAGAGTCATAGCGAGTCTTTTGACATTGTAATTTTTTGTCACAATTTTTTGAAAAATGGAGAAATTGAAAAAAAAAAAAAAAATCACTTTTTCTTTTTCTTTTTACATACTGTAACCAGTCCAGTCAGTGGGACAATGACTGGTGACCATATGAAAAAAAAACATTTTTTTCTCAATTTTTATTACATTTATTTCTATTTTTTACAATTTTTTTTTCTATAAAACACTGTGACTGGAGTGATATAATGCTACCGTAGTAACATTGTGCTACTCTGGGGAAGTGATCAGCATTTATTTATTTTTTTTACACATTATGATTGCCTATAGCAATGAATTTTACTGCTATAGGCAAGCACTTAACAGAATTAAATCGATGCATTCAGTGTTTTTTGCTGTGGTTAGCTGTGATTGGCCAAAGCTAATCACATGACACAGATGGGCTGTGATTGGCCCAGTCTGTACCATGTGATGACTGTGACCAATCACAGCTAGCAACACATTTGTATAGAATGGATGGCATGAAAGGAAGCCACCCATTGTTTACAATTGTCATGTGACCTGCTGTGATTGGTCACATGGCACTGGCAATGGGCCAGTACACAGATCAATCATCAGCTCCCACCCAGCCAATAATCAAATGGTCAAAGTGGTTGCAAAGTTTTGAAATGAAAAAAAAAAAAAGCATATTATTATTTTATTATTATACAGTATTTATAAAGCACCAATAGTTTGCTCAGCGCTGTACATTACAAAGGGGGACAGAACATGTGACAGAGCAACAACAATACAATGCAAAACATGAGGGGATCGAGGGCCCTGCTCTTTCGAGCTTACAATCCTTCTATAGAGTGCCTAATACTTGCCTTAATCCAAATCCAGTGTGATTTCTGTCTTCACTCTCTTTCATCTTCTACTTGCATGAGTAATTTCTGACAGTCTATGCCAACACCAGGGAATCCCAGGAGGCCCCCCGCCTCCCCAGCACACAAGGTGGTGATTGACAGCTTCAGTTGTGCATTTTTTTCTATGAGATTGTGTAGAGGGGGTGTGTGTCCTTTTCCTCCACTCAGGTCCCAGAATACACTTAGCTCCCTTCTGTATGCTGTGCCATGTGTGACATCAGATCCCCACCCCCTGCTCCGAAATGGTGTGTAAATTGTGTGCCTTAGAAGGCTATAGAGGAAAGAGGGATGCATATAAACAGGTACAACTTATGTAGGAGAATTTGTTTCATCTCTGTGTACCACCTGAGGCTAGTCACTTCAGTGGGTATATGTAAGAGTTTACTAACCATTTTAATTATTACAGGTATTTATTTAGCTCCATCAATTTATGCAGCACTTTACATAATTAAATGCAATTCACTCACATCAGTCCCTGCTCTCAGTGAGCTCACAAGGTAACGTCCCTATCTCACATGCATGGGCCAATTTAGACAGGAGCAAGTAGACAGGGAGAACTTGCAAACTCCATATAGATAGTGTTCTGGTTGGCATGCAAACTGAGGTCCCTAGTGCTGCAAGGAAGATATGTTAACCACTTCATGCTGCACTAAAAAGGCATGGCGTTTGCCAATGCGTGGGGGTTCTATTAAGATTTAATGGCACCCCTGCACAACTGCTAAAGAGCAGTGTGTCGGGAACACGTGCGAATGTGCGAATGTGCATGTGTTCCTGACACTCAGTAATGTGAAACAAGGCTTAGACTGGGGTGCCTTGAGACTTAATATACTTTTCAAGAGCACCCTGACTAGAAATAGGAAATCAAGCAAATTTTCTTAAAATGAACAAGACATTCTAGTAGTGTATAGCCAGCTTTAGTCTAGCCTTCCCTGGAAAGTTAATGAGACTTTGTACTGTATATTATGCAATAGGGGCTGGAGCAATGAGAGAAGCCTATTACTTGGTTCTCCCTGGATGCAAGTGCATGTGAAAATATTATATGTACTGGCCTAGTGCGTCACCCGAAAATGTGTTCTTGGACTCAGTTTGAATACTCTATTTCTCTTTTTACCTGTTACAAAAGCTTTCTAGAACAGCTCACATTGTGATGTGTGAAGCGCCATATTGGGCTCACAAAAAGGGTTTGAACACCACCGGGTATTGTTCAGTCTGGAAGTCTGGTGGTGGCCAACAGCAAATGAGCACTGGAGAAATGGAGAAGGTAAGTAGTGCATTACAAGTTTTTTTTTTCTTATAAAGTGCAAAAATAAAGTATTTTTATTTTACAAAAAAAAAAAGCTGGAGTTGGGTCTTAAAGTACATCTCTAACAAACTTGAGTAATTCAAGCTGACCGTATGATAAAAAAAATTCTTAAGTAAAAGTTATCTCCAAAGAAAACCGCTAGTTACATAGATTAGGAAAAATATGCAGCTAAAATTATTTAAAAACCCAACATTTCCTGCAAAAAACCAAGCTTGGCTCTACACTTATTTTAACACATTCATATTGCTCCTAAAATGTGATGGGTGGCTTCATTGATCAATTCAGATACTCAAGGGGGGTTAGGCAGGGCCTAACAGGGTAACTGTGGGTGACCTCCTAAAGCCTGCACTCTCTTGCTTGTTCTTGATGCTTCTGTATCACCAATTACAGTTATACTTCCAAGGAAGGTTTGAATTTGATTCTTGAAATGTTTAAATCCAAGCTTTATAAAAGTGAGAGAAAACAGAGTGCTAGAGGAAAACTGCTTTTTGAAAAGTGCTTGTAGGTGCCAGGCAATGTATCTTAGGCATTGTTGGGTGAAGTAATCTCCTGATTCTATATAATATCGGCAGTAATGTCATTTGAGAAGGAAAGAAGCAACTTAGTACAATAAGAGTAACTCCTAAACATCGATGTGGGGGGCTTTTCTAATCCCACTGACACAATAATGGGGCAATATTCCTCACACTGACACCAGCAATGGGACTTTATTCCCCCCTACACCCACTGGCGGCTGCCGGGTGACTCCACTCTGCCAGGTGAGTGCTGTGTGTCCCTCGGTGACAATGTGTCCAACCCTGAGCCCGGCTGCCCCTTCCCCCCACCTCTGACAAACTTTGTTGCAGAACCTCTTGAAGGGGGAAGGAAGGATGGGGCTGCTGAGTGTTGAAGTTTGGGACAGTGATTGACAGCTATCAGGTTCCCACACCCCCCCCTGAATTTCCCAGCCATTGCTCCATAGCAGAATATGGAGGAGGAGTGGTGCTTGTGAAAGTCTGGCAACCAGGATTGACTGACCACCATCTCTTCACCCTAAAAATAAAAACCCCCTTCCCAACTCTCCATCCTAAAGAATAACTCCCCTCCCCACCTCTCCACCCTAAACAATAACCCCCTCCCCACTTCTCCACCCCTCCACCCTAAACAATAAACCCCCTCCCACCCCACTACTCCACCCTAAACAATAACTCCCCTAACCTCCTCTCCACCGTCAACAATAACCCCCCTCCCCCCCTCTAAACCCTTAACAATAACCCCCTCCCCATCTCTCCACCCTTAGCAAATAACCCCTTTCCCTGCCTCCCGCCTCTCCACCCTCAAAATAACCCCCCCGCCTCTCCACCCTAAACAATATCCTCCTCATCCACCTCTCCCCCCTACACAATAACCCCCTCCCACCTCATCCCCCTCCTCCACCTCTCCGCCTCTCAACATTAACACTACCTCGCCGCCTCTCCATCCTCAACAAATAACCCCCTTGCTCACTTCACCACTAGAGATGATCCGAAGTATTCAAAAATTCGTTTACGGCTGATTCGGGCGAATTCGAGGAATAAATTTAGATTCGATGCGACTCTATTCGCTGTGCATTTCTAACTTATATAAAGCGTGTCGTCATTTCTAAGGCTTCATAGAGCCCTATCTATATTAGTGCAGAACACTGTACCATTAAATTAAATGCCCTTGGAGTCCTGCTGGGTAAGAGAAACTAATACTGGTCCAGTCAGTAGGGACTGCAGAATGAGTGCCGGTCGATCTTAGAATCACCGCACACATTCAGACTCATTTTGGCAGTCACGGGGCCAAAATCAGCGTGGGTGGCGTCCACCAGTGTCGGCGGTGGAGGCAGCAGCAATGGTGAGGCCAATACAGCACCCTACAATGGACAAAAATAGGAACCCACCAGCAGTCGTGGAGGAGACCTGAAAGTGGCACATGGCAGAGTGTGG